AAAGCATATTTTTTGAAGTGGAAGATGACAGAAATCATTGAAATTTTTAGCTAAAAAAGGGGTGTTGGATAAAAAAATCATATCATATATGAAAGATCTGAAGACGGACTATCTTCCCAAGCATTTATCTCAATTTCGAAATTTCTGACGAAGATTGACTTTTCTCAAGGGGGGAGAGGCCTTAACAATAAAGTCGATGATAGGATTAATATTTTCTTTCTCTAATTATTTAATTAAATAAAAAAGAACATTTTCTCATTATTATATTTAAATCAATATAGATCTTTACAATGTTTTTATTGCATTGACTTTTGAAAAACCAAAGGGTGTGGGTGTGGGTGTGTGAGTGTGCGATGATGGCCTGTGTTTTCCCATGACACCTACACCCATACCCACACCCATATAAATAAAACGAATGTTCGGAAAAAAATACCGGATGGAATTGATGAGGTAAAAAATTCTTTATCATAAACACAAGTTATGCTTTGATAAAATTCTTGATGATTATCCTGTGGATATATCGATTTTAATGAGACAGAAAGTAGCAGACTGTCGTAATGAAATACTTTAGACTAAGTGTATAGTTGGATCATCATATCTGGTTGAACACATCGAATAAACCATTGATGTTCTTTGATTCAAAATGAAATCCGAAATGAATTAACTAATGCATCCATTTGTTCTTCTATATCATCATCGACAATGATTTCTTTCATTTCAAGTTGAAATATTTTTAATTTGAGCAAATAATCATGAATGATTCGTTCCCATTGATGACCATCGATTAAGTTAGAATTTAAATGAATATTCAAACGACGTAGATTAGGAATGTTCTTTCAAAAGGAAATCATTTGTGAAGTCGTAAACATATTAGAAATACTAATGTCAAGATTGATTAGTGTTGATAGTAGATATGGTGTAGAAGTATCAGCATTGTGAGGATTAAGAAATATTGAAAGCCATTAAAGTCGAGATGTGTATTCAAACAACAGATATATTTGATTTAATGTAAGATTACTTCTATCTATAGAAAGATGATTGAGACATGAGAAAGTTATTGTCGGTATACAAAGAGAATTTTGTTCTTCAATAATAATATCAAAATTACATTATATAAGTTTGGAAAAACTTCGAATACTGTTAATAATTAATTGAAAATCTGCTTTATGGGGGTGAGAAAAGCAAGCGTTGAAGTCTAAATGAGTAAGATTAGGGTGTGGGTATGGGTGTGAGGTGTGGATGTGGGTGTGAGTGTGGCGTCTGAACAGGGCTGCCAACTCCTAATTTTCAAATGGGCTACAGTTGGGGCACAAATTTTTTTAAAATGAGGTACACCATTGGAGTACCTCATTTTCTTCTCAAACCGAGTTGTGGTAGGTGAAAAACAGCCAAAAATGGGTCTTTTGAGAAAATGGCATTACTTTAAAAATGATTCCACTGTAGAAAGCAGTACATTTTTCTTTAGTTTCAGTTTCGACGATGCGTTAACGAATAGCTTGCTTGGAGTGTCGGTTAATCATATAGCTCCTTTGTTAGGAGTCGAGAGATCTGCTTTAGAAAAAGAACAATGTCAAAGATATCGCTTATGAGAGTACTTCCTCGGGTGTTCTCTTCCAATTTCAATGATTTTTGCCTATAGATACTACATAGTGTACTAGTAAAAACCCTTAGAAGATTTCGGTTCCTATTGAGATTTAGAAAAGCTATTGGATTTTTAATATGTCTAAGTATTTAGGACCTTAAGACTTAGGAAAAGTTATATTTTCGAATTTTGATCTGAAATGTTATGTATATAGAGATCTCAAGTAGATTAGTTTCCATAAAAAAATTCAGAAATTTTGTACAAAGTCTCTCCAAGATGTTAAATTTTCTGGATATAAGGTCTTTTCCATACATAGAAAATACAATATTCATTTTTTGAAAGTCTTGTATCTGGAAGTAACTTTATTCAAAATTTCTGAATTTTTTTATGGAGCTAGTCTACTTGAGATCTCTAAACGCATAAAGTTTCAGATCAAAATTCGAAAATACAACTTTTCCTGAGACCTAGGGTCCCAAATGATTAGGCATACTAAAAATCCAATAGCTTTGCTAAATCTCAATAGAAACTGAAATCCTTTTAGGATTTTTACTAGCACACTATGTAGTATCTACAGGCAAAAAAATCATCGAAATTGAAAGGAAACAGCTGAGAAGGTTCCTTCGTTACCTTTACACTTTGGACGAAACGGTACATATTAAGGATACTCGAAAGAATATAGCCAAGAAAAAACCGTGAGAGGATGTGCAAAAGTGATCTTCTAAGAAGTTGAACAGTGCATTTGCCACTTTTTAAAAGAATAAGATACAGAATTCATTTTCATTCTACAATCTGTTATTCGATAAGAAAAAAGACTTTTGCTGAGAAAGAGTGTATTTTCTCAAAATAGAGGTTGTAACGTGTTCGCTGTTCTTCTTATCGTCACATTTTCTGTGACACTTGCAGTCAGTTTGTTCAATAGATTTACAGGATGTTTCAGAAACTGCTGTCATTTCTGATTCTGATTCCTCATAAATCTGAATCTCACCTTGTTTTGCCGGAATCTCAATGAAAATTGATATTATTTTTCATTCAGTAGAAACTTAAATCTAATTTAGTTTTTTAAATACTATGCGTCAGTTAGATATGATAAAATATAATAAAATAAAGACAAAAAGTGAAAGAATCGTCAAACTTTATTTGAATTTTGGAATTGAAATCAATTGCGCGAATAGAAAAGGTTAGGAGAAAACAAAATGAATAAAATGTTTGCTAATTTGCCTTTATCAACTATTTACCAATATTGTCCTATGCAAATGTTTCTAGAAAGATGATGGAAAGTGTATCGAAAATATAGTTGATTTTAATTCACGGACTTGTTTACAGCAATAAAAGCTCAAAAATCTAAATGGGGTACAAAAAGTGTATCCCAGGGGTACAAAATGATGAAATGGGGTACAGTTGGCAGCCCTGCGTCTGAAGTCGATGAAAAGATCACTCACCCATACCACACCCACACCCATCATGACTAGTCTATGCCATCTGTTCGTCGTATTCAGACTGATTAATCGACAGGAAAGATTAAGAATGAACGAAGCGGGCGAAAGATGGATTCGACATTTGACAAGCATTGTAACGGCGCACCATGATGTAAACACAAGCAGATCCTAGTGCAAAAGAAAACTCGCTAATTTTCGTTGACTAAGAATTAACTGGCATAAAGGAGACGTGTACTGTTGGCACTGTTAACCAGTACGAATGCAATTTTAAGCACTTACAATGTTTCTTTAATCGATCTATCAAAATAGATTTCCTGTTTTTTATTGTTAACAATAAAAAAAAATACACAGTTGAAGAATTCAAACATTCGTACTTAACATTGATTGTTCTTGAATCCATTCACGGTGACATGAATATTGTTTTTTCATAATTCGTGGAATGTTTTCTTTATTTATAGCAATTGTAGTAGTTCAAAGCAACTTTTATCAACGTTGCTCTTATCAATATGAGGTATGAACGTTCCTTTATCATCGGTGCAAAAAACCAGCCCCTTTGGTCAAAGTATGTATGGTAGAGATATTTAATTTTTTCTGCGATAAATGAGCTTTTGGGTCGCCCTATTGCGGAACTCACCGATAGGTCTATCGCCTGAAAAGGACTAAAAATGGATGGTGTTATTGATATACAAGTTTGTGCATTGATTTGCGCGACAATTCATAACGAACACCATCGATTTCATGAAGATTTTCTCTTTGTCTTTTCTAGGTACACATTTGTATAAAGCGAAGGAAACTACGAAATTATTTTATGTCCATAAGTATGTAAAATACAATATTTTAGCGTTAATGTGAAGTGAATTCATTTGAGAAGTTTTTGTCTACGCCTGTGATCTGAAGGTATAACGAATCTATAGGAAATATTTATGTGAGAATTTTGAATTCAATGAAGCAAAAAAGAATAAATACATTTCTTTTATGATAATCCTGTAAATGAAGATAAACAGAATGTATAACTTATATCTAGCACATGGAGTTTTATTCATCAACTGTTCTCGTCTGATGAAAATATCGTTAAGATCTTAGCTCATTTGATTCAATGTTTCAGATACGTCAAGTTAAACAATTATTTTATATAGTGAGCGTTTCCTCAATAGATGTTTTACTCTTTGGATCGTATATTCAATATGAGTATCACACTTTGTCTTGGTTAGTGCCAGATTCAAACAATAAACTGATCAATAATCGATGCTACAAGTTGTCAAATTTTATACAAATGTTTGGTATGACTGTAAGATAAATATAGAACATAACTGTACTGATGGAGATAGTGAATGGAGTAGACGTTGTAGAACGAAACACCAAAAAGAAAGAACTTCTTTTATCTGTATATTTTTTCGCAATGTTCTGTAATTGTACAAGTATATTGTAACGTGATTCTGAATGGTGCTCTTTCATTACTACAGCTGTGCATATTTTATTTAATATGAATTGACAAACTAGAGGAGTAACGCTGCCGTCCCACTCGATTCAAATGTTAATCACACTACTCCATCGCAGAGAATAAAAATCATAGAACGGTCAGGAAGAAGACAGATACAACGATGTAGCGGTCATTACACTTCTAAGCGGGCAAAAGGTCAGGCTATGTATCCGATCAGGATACTTCAATTATTAACGCACACACGAGCACATGCATATATGCGATGCTATGCTTTTTGATACTCTGTAGTAGAAAATCCTAATGTCCGACAGAAAACGTCAGAAAACAACACACAATGAAATGTAAGTCTTATTAATTATTATTATTATTCTCTGATATTTTCTTTAGTTTAAACACAACTTCAATTACAAAATTTGAACAATTACCAAACGAGTTGATACTAATGTGTTTTCGTTATTTTGATTTCTACAATTTATATGAAATATTTTTCTGTTTAAATCAACGTTTTAATCAACTATTTCAATATCAAACAAAGATTAATATGGATTTAGGTTCAATTCCACATGGAAAATTTTTAACATTTTGTATTAAATTAAATCAATTAATAACAACAAGTCAAAACTATCCACTATCAATTATAGCTCATGATAAACACAGATTTAATTTGATATTAGAAGATGATTTATTTAAAAATAAATTTTCTAAATTAAAATCATTAACATTATCAAACATAGATGCTAAAACTATATATTCTCTGATATTTGATAAAACAACAAAATTAAATCAAAGCTTAGAACGATTAAGTTTCCTAGATGAAATCAGTAGAGAAATTGAAGCAAGCAATGACATAAAACGTAAGAATAACAATGCTTAATTATCTCTGAGAAACAAACTCGATTTTGTGTATTTAGGCTTATGTGGCAGTTTGATATCATCAAAAATGAAATCATTAAAATATTTGAAATTGAATTTTATACCATATTCGACTTGGACTGGATGTGAATGTGGTTGGCATACATGTTCAGATTACATTTATTTAGAATTTGTTAAATTAGCAGAAAGAGAAACATCATTAAGTCATTTAGAAACACTTATTATTGGAAGTAAGTTATTTTAATGCTATACATATCTCTAACTTATATTCATAGATATATCTAATCGTTATTATGCTACAACAACAATATATTTTCATACATTGATAACAGATTTATTACCATGTCTACCAAAATTAAAAAATTTACTTATAAATGCAATTCATTTTGAAGATTACGAATGGCGCCAACGACATAAGGTATGCGAAGAGCATTATTAGAATTCCTTAGTGAACTTTTTTAATCTGAATCTAATAGCCATTCGGAAAAAACGAGATAATTTCATAAGAATGAACTTATAATTGACTGTACTAAGTGTTGGATCGGATTCAACAATGGAGTTTAGAGCCATTTTAATACTAGTTTTTAGAAAGAAAATTTCTATTAAATTTTTCTATAATAGGCATTATCAGCTACAACAACAAATTCAATTTTATCATTAAATTTAAAAGTAATTAAAGTCTGGATTAATAGTGACTATGATGTCGGAAATAATATGGAAAAATATATAAATTTAGTACGAAATTTCTTTATAAATAACACCTCGTCTCACGTTGCAACAATTAAAATATTTAAAATTAACAATGTAAATGTTTTGTAGAACTTCGTCTGATGAACTTTTGTCTGTGACCTTTTTATTATGGAGAAAAAAAATCTTGAAATACTCTTTGTTTATATAATCGAATAAAGCCGAAAAAGAAGTCAAAAATTTGTTGCTCTTCTTATCTATGACATTCATTTTGAAATAATGACACCCCAATTATGTTCTTCTACTTTTTTATATCACACAAAATGAACTTCTCATGGTTAAAGTTTTTGTAACAGTGATTCTCTGTTTTATGGATATTATTCATCTCACATCATCATTCTACAATAAACTGTCTATGCCAAATTGTTTGCAGTGTTATTGCTTCTTTTTTTCAGTTAAAATTTTAAACGAAAGGTTTATGTCAACAACGAGTTATCATGTTGTTGTGATCTATTACGTTATTAGAAATGTCTCATCTGAAGCAAAATCAATCTGGTGGTAGCGACGCTTGAAGATATTGTATGAGAATTGTTCATGGAACTCGATACGGTGTGGACTGTTGCTTTCCAAATGTCGACTATGACAATAGTAAGAAAGTGCTGCGATATGTGTGCGTACCAGTAATGACGAATGATTAGAGAAGAAATGGAATGATCACAGTCCAAAAATATGTTTTTAAGACCATTTAAGGTACCATCAGCTAATTTTTGTACATTTTTGCTGAAAAAAACCGAAAGAGAGAACAATCGATCCATGAACAGAACTCTCAAAATCCATCACTAGTATACACCAAGAAAGCATGGGTGTGAGTATGGGTGTGGGCGTGTGGTGAGTGTGGGTGTGTGGGCGTGTGGGCGTGGGTGTATGAGTGTGGGTGTGGGTGTCGGTGTAGAGTGGGTGTGGGGTGTGGGGTGTGGGGTGTGGGTGTGGCTGTGAGTATCGTCTTCACTAACACCCACACACTCACACCCACAGCCACACCCCACAGCCACACCCCACACCCCACACCCACACCCATCCCACCCACCCACATCCACACCCACACCCACACTACACCCACACTCACACCCACACCCACACCCACACCCACACCCCACCCACACCCACACCCGGGTGCAGGTGTGGCTCTTCTCCTCTACTAACATCCACATCCACACCCATCCACCAACCCACACCTCACACCCAGACCCACACCCACACCCACACCTCACACCCAGACCCAGACTCAGACCCACACCCACACCCACACACCCACACCCACACTCACACCCCAACCCACACCCACACCCACACCCACACCCACCCACACCCACACCCCTCACACCCACACCCACACCCACACCCGAAGAGAAGAACAAAAATAATTTTCTAACTAATGGAGCTTTTGAGGGTGGCTCTAAAATAAAAGAACCTTCCCAGGGATATCCGACGTTCTGTTGGTGACCCTTGCAGGCGTGCAGATGGTAGGTCTTCATAGCATACATCAATGTATGTATGAATAGAAGCTTCCATTTCGTCATCGTCCTTTCGAAGATGATGATCATGGTCGTACTAGTCATACATACATCGATGTATGTTTGCCTAAGCATTGCCGGCTTTGTCCACTGTATGAGCCAGTAGAATACGGAGGGTATCTCTGGTCGCGCGTGCGCGAAATTTTGCAGCTGCTGCGCTTCGGCGAGCTTAGATGTCAAGATGGCCAGTTTATTTTCTCTTTAAAAACGAAAAAAAGACAATTACATTTTCGTTTTTACATTGTCAATGTTTCGTTTCACGAGAGCAATATGTGGATGATTTGCAGGAAGTGATTTTTTCCAAATTTCTTGAGCTTTTTCGTAATGTGAAAGTGCTTTCGAGTACTCGCTCATGTTATAATACACCAGCCCGATGTTGTTGTAGGAAGCAGCCAAGTGGGAATGATTCGGAGGGAGAGCTATTTTACGAATTTCAAGTGATTGTTCATACGATGAAAGTGCTTTCGAGTACTCGCCCATGTTACCATACATGGAACCGATGTTGAGATAGGAAGAAGCCAAGTCGGGATGATTCGGAGGGAGAGCTATTTTCTTGATTTCAAGTGATCGTTCGTGCGATGATAGTGCTTTCGAGTACTCACCCATGTTATCATACACCATACCGATGTTGTTGTAGGAAGCAGCCAAGTCGGGATGATTCGGAGGGAGAATTTTCTCGTTGATATTCAGTACCTTTTCGTAATGTAAAAGTGCTTTCGAGTAGTTGCCCATATTATCATACACCCAGCCAAGTTGATGATTGTATTCTGCTCGATCTTCATCAGAAGACGCCTTTGTGAGGAGAATCTGATAGAGTTGTTCAGCTTTTGCAGGCTCACCAAGTTTAATAAGCATGTACCCAACTCGAGACCATCCTGTGCGCCCACCAAGTTCCTCACGTATATGTGCTGTAAGTGTGTTCAATTCATGATTGTCATTACCGACAATAGTGAGATTAACTTCGTATAGCCGATCACAGTGATTATCGTGAATTCGTTCAATGCGATCGATACGAAAAATCGCATGTGTTGAAAAAAGTATTTCTTCTTCTTGATCTTCGTAGTAACCAATTTTGCTTACTTCGGCAAAAGGTGTCGATGAATTTGTACAAATAGTCGTGTCAATGTTCATAACGAAAAGAACACCAACTGAATTTGGATTAAATGCTGCTGGTTGTGCAAAGTTGTTGAAAGATATCTCACGGTTGCGACTTGTTGACAGAAAATTATTGAAGCACATAAGTCCTCCTTTGATTTTTTCATTTTTTCAAAGTCTTCAATGGACAAACCTTGTCCACTGAAGACTTGAAAATTTGTTGGCATGTTACCTTGTTGTTCACTATGTAATTCTTTAATATGTTGATGTAGATGGCGAATGAAGAAACCCATCTTCAGGATAATATCGACATCCATTTGTCGAAGACCACAATTAAGCATTGAGTAGATAAAATATGGACCTGTGTATCACCAAATGGGTGAATGATTACGATATTCTTGTTCGATCTTTTCAAGTGTTTTTTCCAAGGGGGAAACATCGTACTTTTGTACTTTAAAGTACATAAAGTACATGAAGTACAACAAAGTACCGCAAAGTACATTAAAGTACATTAAAGTACATTAAAGTACATTAAAGTACTTTAAAGTACATTAAAGTACTTTAAAGTACATTAAAGTACATTAAAGTATATTCAAGTATTTGAAAGTACATAAAAGTACTGTATAGTACCTTGACGTATGTTCAACCACAATGGAGTACAATTAGTGGTGGGCGCTTATCATTATGTTACCAAGTCGTTGGCAATGAAGTAACGACAATTGTGAGACCGCTATCTTTCGGCTAAGGAAGGGTATTTGGAGAAAATAATGGTTTTCTATAAAGGTTGATGAAAGCAAATTGGGGTCGCGGAATCCAAATCTGCTATTTGTTTCTCAAAATACCGAAGTGAATCTTCGGGATAAGGAAGGGGTATTTCAGGGAAATAGCGATTCTGCACAAAGGTTGACGGAAGTAAATTGGAGTCGGAGAATCCAAATCTTCAATCGGTTTACCAAAATTTCGAAGTGGATTTTTGAGCTAAGGAAACAGTGTTTCGAGGAAATAACGATATTCTATTAAGGTTGACGAAAGTAAGTCGGAGTCGAAGAATCCGAATCTAAAGTCAGTTTCTGAAAATTTTAATGTCCATTTTTTGAGTCAAGGGAAGGGTTTTTCGAGAAAATAAGGATATTTTATAAAGATTGACGGAAGTAAATCGGGGTCGAAGAATCGGAATCTTGAATTGATTTATCAAAATTTCGAAGTGGATCATTGGACTAAGGAAAGAGTATTTCGAGAAAATAACGATATTCTATAAAGGTTGACGAAAGCAAATTGAGATTGGAGAATCCGAATCTGTCATTAGTTTCTCAAAATACCTAAGTGAATTTTTGGGTCAAGGAAGGGATATTTAAGGAAAATAGCGATTTCCTATAAAGATTGACGAAAGTAAATCGGGGTCGAGGAGTTCAAATCTGCAATCAATTTTTCGAAATTGGAAATTTGTTTTTTAGATGAAGAAAGGGATGTTCTGGAACGATGAGTATCTATGATACGGTGCCGTATTACCTGTTGTGAAAGATCAGTCTTGCTGCTGGGCTTAATTTTAATGTATTCCCTAGTAGTGATGTGAGTCTGTAGGTTGTTACTCCCGTTACTTCTTTAAAATAGTGTTTCCAGTGTGAGACACTTTAATAATGCTTTCAGGGTGGAAGGCTCATTAGCGATACGCTTCGCTGACGTGGACAGTATATTCGAATTCCAGAAATCTCTTTGCATGAAACTGATTTGCGGAACAGCAAGTATGTATTTATATGCTGGAAGTTAGTGGAATCAGACAGTTTAAGCCGTGAAAGGGTACTATGGCTGAAGTTGTG